ACTCTCATACAACCTTTAATCGACATGCTTTCGACTTCTGTCATACCTATTGCTCTCCGGAAAGGTTCCACGGTACAACCGTCTGTGGATTCGGATCAAGTCTAAAATGCTTATAAATGCCTATAACTCCCACATGAAAGCAGTTATAGGCTTGCCTCGATTTGTGTTTTTTTAAAGCCAAAATTCATAGCTTAGAGGAAAAAAATACTCACTCGTAGTCTGAGGGCCGAAAGTCAATGTGCTCCATCAGCTGTTCTATCTTCGCAACATCAACAGCGTTCTCCTTCTCCAATTGAGCGTTTGCTTCCTGACTTTCCTGCAATTGGCGCTGATATAATGAAGATATCATCAAGGATATTAGGAGATTATTTGTGTTATAAAGAATCATTTAGTTAGTTCTATGTACATGCAAGCGCGGCGGGAAATTAATTAAAGGATTATTTATAGTGTATTTGCGCTCAATTTAGCCTTATTACTAAGGGCCAAGATAAAGACGGCTTAATATAGTAAAATGCCAGACAGTCAATCAGTTGTATGAGATGTGTTAGTCTCTAAATCACACATTGAAGCGAAAAACATTTAATCAATTGAAAATAATACTTAAAAATTCACAATCAAGCTGGCATATACCAATGCGACGTCGTGGTGCAAACATGGAGCAGTTACTTGAAGTATGGATACATTTAACTTGCTGCCTGAAATGAGCCTTACAGATTCAATAGTATCATGCTGACTTGAATGGTCCTTCATTATAACAGAAACTGAGCATACCGTCATTCCTATCGCTTCTAGGAAAATATGCTTAATCCTCGTGCTAACATGAAGAATGCTTCGGTGCTTCGGTCAGAGGTATACATTATTTTGATCAAAGACTGCACATCAGGTTGGTCTTAGAATACTTTGGAACAGCTTTTTACTGAAAAATCTCATATCACAGTAGGAGGCTCGCTATAGGAGGAAGATTTGCGTTAAATGGTGGTACATATATGATCGAGTGAAGTTTCGGAGAGCGATAGTAATTCCCTCTCTGATAAGTTGGGCCTTGCGTAATCGGAGTGATGGTTAAAGGGTATATATAAAGTAGGTGATGGTGTTCATTAAACCTTGATGACCGAGAACATACATTACTCTTTCTGCTATAATTACTTCGAACCATCATTGCTGGATTTGTACATATGCGAACACACACAAACACACTCACATACTTCGAGGTTGACGTTTG